TTCCATGCTTGTCTCTCCCAGCCTAGCACAGAGCCTGGGGCAGAGGTAGCTAGTGGGTGCTTGTTGAAAGCAGATACATGAAGAAGCAGATCTATATGGTAGAGCTTTAAAAACCATCAAGGTCCGGGCACGTCTAAGTTTTTATTTATTATAACTCGAGATTGAGGGTTTCGATGCCAAAGCTATTTTCTAATCTGGTAAATACAGTCTTGAGAATCTATTTTGGCCTCAGAGTCCTTCATTTCACAGTGGCAGGATTTGGGGCTAGGGTGGTGGGTGGCGGGGAGGCATTTGTACAAATTTTTAAAATATCTCTCTCTTTCCTTCCACTGTGCCCTTCCTCCCTTGCCCCACTGAGCTGATGCAGTGATAGACTTTGAAGGAGAAATGGTTTAGTCCAGTGTCTGAAGGGAGTCCTTAAGGCAGTTCTTCCTGCTGTCCTCACTGTCTCCACCACCCAAGGGGTTTAGGATGGGCCTGAAATTCACAGCAATTCTTCTCACACAAATGCATAAGGACTGCTTCCCTATCCTGTCCACTTGGTCTAGCACCAGAGTTCCTGCCAGTACACAGCTGAGGGCTCTGCCCTTCCACAGAATACCAGGGCACTGGATGCATTCTATAGCCAGGGCTCTTTTGGTTGCAGTAACAGAAACCCAACTCCAACCAGCTTAAGCATGTGGAATTTGTGGGATTGCAGAACTGGGAAGGCCAGGGAGGGATCTCACTTGGAGCATGGCAAGCTCCAGCCACACGTGGTGACACCACAGCCCCGTTGCTCATCCAGCCGTGAGTCCCTCTTTCTGCCAAACTTTTCCAGGCAGACCTGGGAGGATGGACATTGTACTGTTGGCCTACCTGGTACTTACAGCTACAATCTAAAAAGAAGAATAAAACCCTCCAATCTCCTACGCTGGGCGTGGTGGCTCATGCCTGTAATCCCAGCACTTTGGGAGGCCGATGCAGGCAGATCACCTGAGGTCAGGAGTCTGAGATCAGCCTGGGCAACATGGTGAAACCCCGTCTCTACTAAAAATACAAAAATTAGCTGGGCATGGTGGTGCATGCCTGCAGTCCCAGCTACTCAGGAGGTTGAGGCAGGAGAATTGCTTGAACCTGGGAGGCAGAGGTTGCAGTGAGCCAAGATGGTGCCACTGCACTGCAGCCTGGGCAATAAGCAAGACTCCATCTAAAAAAAAAAAAACCAAAAAAACAAATAAACAATAAAAAACCCAAGCCTCCAATCTCCTAAAGTTAAACAGATCACTCTTTTTGACCTGTCTTCTGACTGGGGAATGGCAATCCCATGATCACCGGGCCCTGGGCCAGCGGGGATTTGGAGTACTGGGAATGCTGGCCCTGTAAGAACCATATGGGAAGGGGAAGGGCTGCTCTCCACAGAAAAAGGGATGCTGAGCACATACATATAATGTATGTAACATATGAAAAGACAGCATATACGGACTTGGAGAATCTCAGGCACAGGTGTCTCATCTTTGGGAGTTTTGCAATTACAGGGTTGCAGCTTTCCTTGGTCTCTTCTAGGTTTATTTTCTTGCAAGCACCTGTTCATTCAGCAGAATGCTTTCCAGCCCTGACTTAGGGACACTGCCTCTTTTGCCTGGCTTCTGTCGCTGCCCCCTGTCCTGTAGGGAACCCTCTTTCTGTATTACGAGTCACAGTCCCCTGAATTACATTTCCTGTGTGCTCAAGCTGGGAAAGAGCGAAACCTGTCCCTATGGCCTCCCCCTGGGGTCCTTTCTTTTCGACTCATTCCTTCCATTTGAACATCTGCTAATTGAGAGATCCTTGGTGTGTGACACCCCCAGGACTCCCAAGCTCTGTTCTTTACCATCTCAGGCTGGGGATGGCACAGAGGTCTCTCATTCCTCAGGGATTTGTAATTCCAGGTTTCTACTTCTAGGTCGTGGTTTAATCTCAGGCAAAGTGAACACAAGTATTGTCAGAGCCTGGCAAGCAAATGAGACTTTGGAGTCCAGTTACCCTGAGTGTTAAGCTTGGCTCGGCCAGCTGTCTTCTAGTGGTGTGACTCAGCTGGCCAAAGCCTTGATTTCCTCACTGATAAGATAGAGATGATTGTCACACAGAGCTGCTGTGAGGATTTGACGAAAGAGCAGAGACAAAGTTCCTAGCATAGAATTGGCAACTAGTAGCTCAAGTGATATTAGATGGATGCCAGCAGGTGCTGAGGGTTGCTGTGTTCCACACTGTTTTATTATCTTTTCTTGTGTTGATTCATTAACTATGATGGTTAATCATTATTAATTGACTTACTAATTCCCTCGACAGACCTATAAGGTGGAGATTATTTTTACCCCTATTTAACAGATGAGGCTGCTGGAGGTGTAAGTGGTAGAACCAGGATAGCAACCCAGGTTCCGTGTTCCTACCCACTTCATCATGTGGATTATTTCTGCAGTTTAACTACGGTCTAGCTTCTCTGATATGAATCACATTGGGTAGACCTCTAACTGCAGTAATTGTGGCAAATGGATCATTTTCTTGGAGTTGATGTGTTTATAAAGTCTTTGGGGATTCAGTGTTTTTATTTTTGTTTTTTTGAGATGGAGTTTCACTTTTCACCCAGGCTGGAGTACAGTGGCACGATCTTGGCTCACTGCAGCTTCCTCCTCCCAGCTTCAAGCGATTCTCCTGCCTCAGACTCCTGAGTAGCTGGGATTACAGGTGTGTGCCAACGCGCCTGGCTAATTTTTATATTTTTTAGTAGAGACAGAGTTTCACCACGTTGGCCAGGCTAGGCTTGAACTCCTGACCTCAAGTGATATGCCCACCTCTGCCTCCCAAAGTGTTGGGATTACAGGTGTGAGCCACTGCCCCTGGCCAGTGTTTTTAAAGTAGAGTTTATTAGTTCACTCAAAGGTGATGAAAATTTGTTGGATCAACTGGTAGAACCAAATATTCAAGATACCCCAAGGTGAATGAGAGAGGTGTGTAGCAGAGCATGAGTTCAAATTCTGGCTCTACTACTACTTGTGCCCTTGGACAAGTAACAATCTCTTCATGTATCAGTTTCCTTATCTATAAAATGAGTTTTTCTAAGATAAAAGCTGTACTTGTTCTACCTCTGGGGAAATTGAAGAAGATACACAAGAGTAAGAGAGGGATCAAAGTAAACAGTTTTATTGCTGGTAAAACTGGTTTGGGTCTGAGGCTTCTTTTTTTTTTGAGACCGAGTCTCTGTCACCCAGGCTGGAGTACAGTGGTGTGATCCCAGCTCACTGCAACCTCTGCCTCCTGGGTCCCAGCGATTCTCTTGCCTCAGCTTCCCAAGTAGCTGGGACTTCAGGCGCAGGCCACCACACCTGGCTCATTTTTGCATTTTAGTAGAGACAGGGTCTCACCATGTTGGCCAGGCTGATCTCAAACTCCTGGCTTCAGGTCTGCCTGCCTTGGCCTCCCAAAGTACTCGGATTACAGGCATGATCCACCATGCCCGGCCAAAATGAAGCTTCTGGAACTTCCTCCCATACCTACACTTTGTGCCCCACCTATGGGGAAGGTGAAGCTATAGAGTAGTGATATCCAACCTTATTGGCACCAGGGACCGGTTTCTCTAGAGACAATTTTTCCATGGGCCGGAGTGGGTTGGGGGATGGTTTCAGGATAAAATTGTTCCACCTCAGATCATCAGGCATTAGATTCTCATAAGGAATGTGCAACCTAGGTTCTTCCCATGCACAGTTCACAGTATGATTCGTGCTCTTATGAGAATCTAATGCTGCTGCTGATCTGATGGAGGTGGAGCTCAGGTGGGAATGCTCGCCCATCCACTGCTCACCTCCTGCTGTGTGGCCTGGTTCCGGTCCACCGTCTGGGGGCTGGGAACCCCGGCCATAGGGCAAATGTGGACCAGGCTTCAGGCTTACTTTGACTCAGGTTTGCTTAGAGAGGGACAATGGGACTAGGAGGTGGGAAATCACCTGTCCTGCATCCAGGTAACCCCCATCCCATGAAAAAAAAAAAAAAGAAAAAAATAAGGATGGGGCCAGGTGGGAACTAGCTGTTTCACAAATCACAGAGAGAGAGGGCCAGGTGAAAGCTCTTTTTCTCCTACTTTGGAGAGGGAAGAAGTTCCTGCCTTGCATGGGCTAAGGTAGGAACCCCTAGAGAGGAAACAAGCAATTGCTTTTATAAACACCAGCCACTTGGTAGCCTTGTTGAGCTGAAGTAAGATGAGGCATATATAGAACACACCTAGTGTGAATGGTTAGTGCCAGTATGTCTAGCTTAGCGTGTTACCCACAAGGCAGAATGGCAGCACGTTTACACCGTGAATGGAACTATCAGTGAGGTGCAAGAGCACTGCAGTCAGCCAGTCAGTATATTTTCCTCCTGTTGGAAAACCTATTTGGGAAATCTTATTGCTGGGGGTGGGAAATAAGGACAGAGAGCTCTGTGATTAGAGAGGATATAGAAGTCTGATGTGCTGTGTCTTCCCTACCAAGTGGGAATCAACCCACCAAGCAAACTGTAATGCCCACCACATCCATCCTCTGCCAGTGCTGTGGCATACTCATCACTTCTTTTTATTGTGGCAAAACACACATAACATAGCATGTGCCATTTTAACCATCTTGAAGCACGTGGTTTCTTGCCATGTTATGCAACTATCACCACTGTGTATTTCCAAATTTTTTTCATCACCCCAAGTAGAACCTCTATGACTGTTAAGCAATACATTCCCATTCCCATTGCCCCTTCCACCCCCAGCAACCTCTTCTGTCTCTATGAATTTGCCTGTGTTAGGTTTTTCATCTAAGTAGAATGATACAGAATCTGTCCTTTTGTGCCTGCTGTATTTCACTTAGCATGTTTATCCATGTTATGGCATGTACAGACCATGCTCCTTGCTTCTGAAATTAAAACTTCCCTTTTAGCAGCCCTCACGAGGACCACTGTTGTCCTGCTTTTTACTTCTTCTGATCATACCCCTTTTCTTCTTTTCAACATGTTTTCAGAGCCTCCCCTTCCAGAAGTAGAATTTTTTATGGTGCACAGAGGACCTCTACCACGCCTCAGACTGAGGAAAGCCAAGGAGAAAAATGGACCAATCAGGTCAGTAGCCGTCCTTTCTCCATGGTTGCCCAGTGATCCCCGTGGAGTGTTTTGGAAACTTTGATTTCAGTGAGGAGAAGACTTCTGTGTTGGTGGCTGCACTCGAGTTGTTAGAACAATGCAGTTGGGGCCTGTTTTGTTTCCTTGGGTATAGACTGGCCTTTAATCCCAACCAGCATCCTTTCTAATGCATAGAGAGACTTCTAAAGGACCATATACTAGCATTTGGGCAGTTTAGCCCAAGAAATTAAATCCATTCCTTTGGTTTCTGGGCAAGCATTTGGTTGCATGCTTAGAACATGTCAGGATTGTTCTTTGCACTCATGTCTCATAGTGCATCCTTTATCAATGGCAGGTCAGGGGCATCGTTTCATTTCCCAAAGGCAGAATATGTTGCTGTTTATGTAAGGCAGATCTTGGGGGTTGTGCAGTGATTTCTGAAAAGATCATTTAGATAAATCTTTTTGTCTTTTCAGGTATTGAGTTATGGGCAAGACACTGCATAATTACTGACTGCTTCTGGGATTCCAGATGGCATTAGGATGGAATTAATTTACCTCAGTTGGAGGACTACACTGTGTTCAGTTAAGCGTTTTATTTGCAAAGGTCATGGCAGGATTAGGAGAGTAGCATCAGTCTACTCAATCTTCCTTTTTTAGAGAGGAAGATTGAGGTTGGCTTGGAGAGATGAACAGCTTTCTCTCGGTACCTGGTCAAGTAGCCGACAATGTACATGACCTAACCAACACTGCCTTTGTCTCTCCTGACCCTTCAGTAAAATCAAGGTTAAAAAAAAATGTGGGCTGGGCGCAGTGGCTCATACCTGTAATCCCAGCACTCTGGGAGGCTGAGGCGGGCAGATCATGAGGTGAGGAGTTCAAGACCGGCCTGGCCAATATGGTGAAACCCCATTCTACTACAAATACAAAAATTAGCTGGGTGTGGTAGTGGGTGCTTGTAATCCCAGCTACTCAGGAGGTTGAGACAGGAGAATTGCTTGAACCTGGGAGGCAGAGGTTGCAGTGAGCCGAGATCATGCCACTGTACTACAGCCTGGGTGACAGCGAGACTCCATCTCAAAAAAAAAATAATGAGATATTATAAAATGACAAAAAACAAAGTCTGGCGATATTATCTATATATCCATTTACAATAAAACTCAGGGTTTTCCTGCTTTTACATTCGTTTAAATTCAGTAAATGTGCAAAGATCTTTCCAGGGATGGACATTGTATAAATTGTTCTAATTCTCCACCATTTACCAGAAGGCATTGTAATTCTGTCATTATAAAGAGAACAGAAGTTGTGATGTCACTTCCTGAGAGCACTTGCAAGAGCAAATGTGATAGTTAAGTCAAATAATTACATAATGCAAAAAAGAGAAGCCCAATGACTGTTTCCCCTTGTGGCTGTATGCCGGCCAGCACCTCCAAAACAGGAAGTGGAGATCTGTGAGTCATCCAAGGGAGTGCGGTGGTGAAAAGGAGGAGAAAAGTCCTTCCAGAACAGTCCTGTTCCAAACAGCCACAGCTGTTTCTCTAACGTCACACGGCTCATTATCAGCAGGCAGGGTGTCTTCCTCAGCCTGACTACCTGGTTTGCGCTGTGGGGGCAGCAGCTTTCCCAGTGTGTGAGACAGGCCTGAGTGTGCTTTGTGCACGGTTTGGGGACAGCGTCTTGGAGTACATAATGGAGGAAGGTCCTTGGGACCAAGTCTCTCTCCTGAGCTTGATGATGTTGGGCAGAGGTTGTAGCCTGTTGCTGGGCTCCCTTAATGCTTGTATCTCCCATACTTGCCAGATTATAGGAATCACCTGGGAGCTTTATCAGCGTTGCAAATTCCCAGACTCTGCTCCTAGAGATTTTGATTCAGTAGGTCTGGGATGAGGTCTGGGAATTTGTATAATAATCAAGCAACACAGGTGATTATGATCAGGCTAATTGGGGATCTGCTTAATACTCTGTCAATGCTGCCTCTAGTGAGCAACGTGCAGAACCAAATGGGAACAGGTGAGCCTTGACCTTGCTCTTCACCACCACCACCTACATAGAAAGATGAGAGGGATTTGAAGATGTACTTATAGACAGCATGGAGCTGCTGCAACTTTTACTTTTGCCTGCAACTATGATGTAGGGATGTCTTCAAGTCTCAGGGAAAGTTTGTTGTTCCAGATGTTCCCCAGAGGCAGTGGATGCCTAATGCACTGTTTGCTAGTAGTGACAACTTATTGCCCTGCAGGTTTTCTTTGTCTCTTGTAGAAAGCCCTTGGCTGGAAATGAGCCAAGGCTTTATGAAAATCAGGACCTCAGCTAGGAGCGGTGGCTCACACGTTTAGTAATCTCAGCACTTTGGGAGGCAGAGGCAGGCAGATCACATGAGGTCAGGAGTTCAAGACCAGCCTGGCCAACATGGCGAAACCACATCTCTACTAAAAATACAAAAAAACTAGCCAGGCATGGTGGCAGGTGCCTGTAATCCTAGCTACTCAGGAGGCTGAGGCAGGAGAATTGCTTGAACTTGGGAGGTGAATGTTGCAGTGAGCCGAGATCATGCCACTGCACTACAGCCTGGGTGACAGAGCAAGACTCCCTCTCAAAAAAAGAAAAAGAGAGAGAGAGAGAGAGAGACTCCCTCTCAAAAAAAGAAAAAGAAAGAGAGAGAAAGAAAGAAAGAAAGAAAGAAACAAACAAACAAACAAACAAACAAACAAACAATAAATCAGGGTCCTGAGGACACCTAGGATGTTTAGGAACCTGGTGGGGGGAGACTTTCCATATTCAACACCCAATCTTTTAGTGATGCATAGGCTCGAAGGAAGCAGGAGATAGGGTATTAGGCATGTGAAGCAGGAAGTGCAAAGTTACTGGTAAAATAGAATTACATGGCCTAGTGAGTTTTGGAAATTACCCTAATCATATTTCATGCTGATGAATGCTTTTCCTCTTTTCTGAAATTTCAACTTAAGAAGCATTAATTGTTGGTGGTGGGGGTTACCAAAAAACTGTGCAAGAAGTTGTAAGAATACAAGAGTTAGTCATTCAGATCCGTACTATCAAGCCTGATAGAGACAAGCAGATGTTCAAACACGGTACTACAGGCAGGAGCTAAGCCCCGAATAGATGGGAATAGAAAGGAAGCGTGATCCATTCTCCGTGCATTTTTATTCTCACACTTCCTTTCACTGCCAGGCTTTCTATTTGATGGGATAAATAGTGAAACACATAACAAAAACAGTACCTGTTGTTAGTGCATTTTTCTGTCCACAATTGGAAACAATTTTTGCAGTGCATACGTGACACGTTACTGTTCTGGCTGTTTCAGGGTGTTGTCAGGCGAGATTAACTAACTGACGGTGACTTTGCACTCTTGGCGTCTCCTTTATATCACATGAACTTTGGTATCAGCCCATGAACTGTGGGGAATGTAAATCACATGAGCTCTGTTTCAGGTCACCACATGATTGTCTGCAGCCTTTTTTCCGGACTTAGTACATTCACTGTGCTAGGCACTTGGTCTCCATGTGACCACTAAACCCTTTCCACAGTTGGGCTTTATTTGCCCATGTGAAAATCACCGATTAGATCAACTTTATGACACACACACACAGGGCAGTGATATGTGCAACAACTTGTCCCAGCTAAAGAGGATGTACTTGGCATCCCTCTGCAGCCAGAACTTGGAGAGGTCCCTTGCCCTGTGTCATCTGGCATTAACCCTTTAGATTCAAATTGCAATTCCATGATGGTTGGAGCTATCAGACTGTAAATCCCACATGGGCCAGGACTTTTTCTTGTCTAGTGTCATGTCTCCAGTGCCTAGAAAGAGGCTTACCTTGACTGAGTGCAGTGGCTCACGCCTGTAATCCCAGCACTTTGGGAGGCTGAGGCAGGAGGATCACAAAGTCAGGGGATCGAGACCATCCTGGCCAACACAGTGAAACCCTGTCTCTACTAAAAATACAAAAATTAGCTGGGTGTGGTGGCATGCTCCTGTAATCCCAGCTACTCAGGAGGCTGAGGCAGGAGAATCACTTGAACCCAGGAGGCGGAGGTCGCAGTGAGCCGAGACTGTGCTACTGCACTCTAGCCTGGTGAAAGAGTGAGACTCTGTCTCAAAACAAAACAAAACAAAACAAAACAAAACAAAACAAAACAAAACAAGAAGAAAGAGGCTTATCTCATAGCAGGTGCTCAATAAATATGAATGAATGAATGAATTCCCCATGCAAGGGTCTGATGGACACTTCTCTTTCTTCTTCCAGTTCATATCAGGTATTAGTGCTTCCCCTGGCCCTCCAAAGCGCATTTTCTTGTGATTCTGAAGGCGCTTCCTCCTTCTTCAGTAACACCTCTGATGCTGATGGATACGTGGCTGCAGAACTACTGGCCAAAGATGTTCCAGATGATGCCATGGAGATACCTATAGGAGACAGACTGTACTATGGGCACTATTATAATGCACCCTTGAAAACAGGGAAGGATTACTGCATTATATTACGAATCACAAGTGAATGGAATAAGGTACCTTTCCTTCCAAGTGCTTGTGAGCTCTGTATTTTCTTCTTCGCATGAAATGTCAACGTTTGAACATTCGTTTTCCCAGTGTTTGAGAGGGACACTGCATGTCACAATCATAAAATGTGTGTGAATACTTTGCCTTTATGAAGGATGGACAGGTGAAACCCTTACAGATGATAGGGATTCTAAATCTCCTGGGGGACCCTGCTGAATCAGCATTGGGACTGATTTTTGTTTTTGCTCTTAAGCTTTACAGATGCCCTCATTGTATTGCACTGCTGAAGTCTAAGTTGGAAAAAACCATCTAGATTCTCTGTTAACTTCCTTGTGCCCCTGCCAGGCTGCTGCCTCCCTCATTCTCCTGGGGAGCAGAAGACTAAGCACAGCACTGCCCTGTTTGCTGCTTACATCCCTTCTGCGGCTATGGCTTAGGTCCCACTTTCCCCTCCTCAGTCCTTAGAAAGGTTGGTGTTCTTCCAGCAGTGGTTCTTTCCTGAGACATGGGACTCAATATTCATTAGATGATTAGTAAATATCATGGAGCTGCAGTTGTCCATCAGGGATGGAAGATCTGGAAGAACCACTGTGATGGCTGACCTAGGAGAACCCTAAGCTTGTCATTTCATGAGGGTTGGTAATGAAAACTAGAGAGATTATATTAATACTAATGCAAACATCTCTTGACTGATGAATTTGAGGTAAAAGTATCTTGTCATCTTGTGTGTAAAGTTCATCACATATTTAAAACTGAGACACTCTATTAAATTCTGTGTAAGATGCAAATGTAATGTGTCATAAACATGCTTGCTATGAAACCAACAGTTACTTGTAAGACTGTCCAAGTAGCAAAGATGTCTAGTAGTGCTTTGTGACAATAGGTAGGAATAAAGAAAGGAAAGTTAAAGCCCAGAATATATTGCCCTGAACTTACTAAAAAGATGTTTACAACTTAGACAAGGTCTTTTTGTTAGAAAATTACTTGGGGTTTCTGACTTGAAGTTTTTAGCCACAGACAAAACACTGGCAGTACAACATGAGTAAAATTTAGAGATGGTTCAGAAAGCCACTGTCCTAGATTAAGACTTTCTTTGGGGAGGGTATATTAGTCAGCTTGGGCTGCTATAGTGAAATATGATAGACTGGGTGGCTTAGGCAACAGACATTTATTTCTCACAGTCTGTGCTGGGAAACCTAGGATCAAGGTGCCAGCTGATTCATTTCCCCAGGGAGGGCTCTCTTCCTGGCTTATGGACAGCCGCCTTCTTATAGTGTCCTCACATGGGGGTGGGGGTGGAATTGGGTGGGGAGAACTCTGATTGCTCTTCCTCTATTTATTAGGACACTTATCCCATGACGAGGGCTCCACGCTTATAACCTCTTCTGAATCTATCTCTCTCCCAAAGATTCTACCTCCAAATATCATTGTAGGTTAGGGCTTCAACATGTGAATTTGGGGCAGGGGTTGGGTGGTAAGCAGGGGCACACACATTTGGTTCATAATAGAGGGAATGAAGTTGGAGGTTAAGAAGACAAGAATTCTGGTTTATTAGCCAGGCACAGTGGTGTGTGCCCGTGGTCACAGCTACTTGGGAGGCTGAGGCAGGAGGATTGCTTGAGGCTGGGAGACAGAAGTTGCACTGGGCTGAGATTATGCCATTGCACTCCAGCCTGGGCAGCAGAGTGAGACCCTGTCTCTCCAATCTCTCCCTTTCTCTCACACACACAAACACACACACGTACACACACAGACACACATACAAATTCTGGCTGACAGGAAACTTTCCTGTGATGTCCTTGATACTCTTTTTCATGCAGCTGAACAAAAGAATATGTGCTTATTCTTTAGGATGTTAAGGAAGATGAAAGGGCTTTGAAAAAATTTATATTTGAATCTACATATTTGAATTGCAATGACTTTCCCATAGGTTTCAACTATATTTGTGTGATAATTACAATAAAATCAATAGTGATTTAATTTTAGTTTTTAACTGTGGTAAAATATATATAATATAAAATGGTCTTAACCATTTGAAAGTATACAGTACATTTTAAAGGGCACTGTCTGATCCATTTTAAATTGTGCAGTTCAGTGGCATTAAGTGCATTCATACTGTTGTGCAACCAATTTCCAAAACTCTTTTTATCTTGCAAAACAAACTTTATACCCAGTAAATGACTCCCCATTCCTTCCTTCCCACAGCCCTTGGCAACCATCATTCTACTTTCTGTCTTTTTTTTTTTGAGATAGAGTCTTGCTCTGTTGCCCAGGCTGGAGTACAGTTGGCATGATCATAGCTCACTGCAGCCTCAACCTCCCTGCCTCAGAGAATATTCATGCTTCAGCCACCTGAGTTAACTGGGACCACAGGTGTGCACCATCATGCCTGGCTAATCTTTTATTTCTTGTAGAGATGGAATCTCTCCATGTTGCCCAGGCTGGTTCCAAACTCCTAGGCTCAAGTGATTTTCCCAGCTTGACTCCCAAAGTGTTGGGATTACAGGCATGAGCCACCACACCCGGCCCTACTTTTTGTCTTCATGAATTTGACTACTCTAGGTACCTCATATAAGGATCATTCAGTATTTTCTTTTTCTGATTGGCTTATTTCATTTAGCCTAAAGTCTTCTAGGTGCACCCATGTGATAGCATGTGTCAGAATTACCTTCCTTTTTTAGACTGGATGATATTCCATTATATGAATATACCACGTTTGTTTATTCATTTATCCATGGATAAATAATGGAATGTTTTCCACCTTTTGGCTATTGTGAATAATGCTACTGTGAACATTGGTATACAAATATCTGTTTGAGTCCCTGCTTTCAGTTCTTTTGTATATATATCTGGAAGTGGAATTGTTTGATCAAATGATAATTCTATGTTTAATTTTTTGAGGAAGTACCACCATTTGTCATTCCCACCAGCAGTGTGTAGGAGTTTCAATTTGTCCATGTCCTTGCTAACTCTTGCTGTTTTTTTTCTTCTTGTAATTAGGCATCCTATTATAATATAGGGTGTGAGGCGACATCTTTTTTTTTTTCTTCTGAGACGAAGTTTCGCTCTTGTCACCCAGGCTGGAGTGCAATGGTGCGAACTCGACTCACTGCAACCTCCATTTCCTGGGGTCAAGTGATTCTTCTGCCTCAGCCTCCGGAGTAGCTGGGATTGCAGGTATCTGCCACCACGCCCAGTGAATTTTTTGTATTTTTAGTAGAGACAGAGTTTCACGATATTGGCCAGGCTGATCTCGAACTCCTGACGTCAGGTGATCCACCCGTCTCAGCCTCCCAAAGTGCTGGGATTACAGGCAGGAGCCACCATGTCTGGCCCCAAGGTGACAGCTTTTTTTTTGGAAGTGGGGGATGAGGTCTCACTCTGTTGCCCAGGCTGAAGTGCAGTGGCTCAGTCACATCTAACTGCAGTCTTGACCCCCCTGGGGTCAGATGATCCTTTCACCTCAGCCTTCTGAATAGCTGGGACTACAGGTATGTGCCATCACACCTGACTAACTTTTCTATTTTTTGTAGAGACAGGATTTTGCCATGTTTCCCAGGCAGGTCTTGAACTCCTGGGGTCAAGTGATCCACCTACCTTGGCTTCCCAAAGTGCTGGGATTACAGGTGTGAGCTGCTACTCCCAGCATGAGATGACATCTTATTCTGGTTTTGGTTTGCATTTCCCTAATGACTAGTGATGTTGACCACATTTTCATGGGCTAAGCAGCCATTTGTGTATCTTCTTTAAAGAAATGTCTATTTAAGACCTTAGCTCATTTTTGAATGGGTTATTTGTTTTTGTTTTTGTTTTTGTTGAATTTTAAGAGTTCTCCATATACTCTGGATATTACTGTAATGCTTTGTGAAATACGTGATTTGCAGATATTTTTGTCCCTTCTTTGGGTTGCATTTTTACTGTTGATAGTGTTCTTAGCTGCATACAAGTTTTAAATTTTGATGATGTTCAGTCTGTCTATTTTTTCTTTTATTGCCTGTGTCTTGGTGCCATTTCCAAGAAGTCACTGAGAAATCCGGTTTCACGAAGCTTTTGCTCTATGCTGTCTTCTAAGAGTTTTATAGTTTGTGGTCTTATGCTTAGGTTTTTGATCCATTTCCACATTCATTCTTTAATATGTAGATATCCAGTTTTCCCAGTACTATTTGTAGAAAAAAAAATTTTTTTTGAGACAGTGTCTCACTTTGTCACCCAGGCTGGAGTGCAGTGGTGCAATCATGGCTCACTGCAGCCTCAACCTCCTGTGCTCAAGTGATCTTCCTAATCCTCCTGTCTCAGCTTCCCAAGTAGCTGGGACTACAGGTGTGCACCACCATGCCTGGCTAATATTTAAAAACTATTTGTAGAGATGGGGTCTCCTTATGTTGCCCAGGCTGGTCTCAAACTCATGATCTCAAGTGATCCTCCTACCTTGGCCTCCCAAAGTACTGGGATTACATTTGTGAGCCAGTGTGCCAAGTCTGAAAAAAAACTGTCTTTTCCACATTGAATGGTCTGGCATTCTTGTTAACAATCATTTGATATATACACAAGGGTTTATTTCTAGATTCTCTATGCTATTCCATTGGTCTATATGTCTGTTCTTTATGTCAGTACCACATTGTTTTGTTTACTGTAGCTTTTTACTAAATTTTGAAATCAGGGAATATGAGTCTTCCAACTGCCTCATTTTGTTTTTCCCTTTGTACGTCTGTCCTAATAAATAGCATCACCATGCCTCCTGGTGCTAAGACAGAAAGCTGTGAATAGTTCTTGTCTCTTCCTTCTTGCTTACCTTCTTATCCAGACCATCAGCAAATCATGTCAGTTCTGTCACCTTAATTCTGTTTAAAATCATCCTTTCCTCTCCTTCATCTGCACTGCTCGGGTTTTGTCATCTCTTACCTGAACACCACTTTTCTAACTCATCTCCTGTCTCTTATTCTACCCATCTCCTTGCTCCATACCACTCACTGCCAGCATGAGTTTTATAAAATGCAAGTATGATCAAGGCATTTCAGTTTAGTAAGCTCCCTCCTTCACCTGGCCCCTTCCAGTTTCTCTCCTTTAATATACTCCATTCCCCCAAACTGCCTTGCTATTTGAGGTCCCTTCCATTCTCCAATGTCTTGAAATATGTCCTTCGCTGGTTATTCTTGCACATTACCTTCCATTTATAATCTCTGCACTTAGCATCAAAGCAAATGTTAGTCACATTCAAACACTTATGGCTATTTTAAGATTTTCTCAAGACTTTTTTTTTTTTTTTTGAGATGGAGTCTCGTTCTGTTGCCCAGGCTAGAGTGCGATGGCATGGTCTTGGCTCACTGCAACCTCTGCCTCCTGAGTTCAAGCAGTTCTCCTGCCTCAGCCTCCCAAGTAGCTGGAATTAAAGGCACCCACCACCATGCCTGGCTATTTTGTATTTTTAGTAGAGATGGGGTTTCACCATGTTGGCCAGGCTGGTGTCTAACTCCTGATCTCAGGTGATCCGCCCACCTCAGCCTCCCAAAGCTGGGATTACAGATGACAGATGTGAGCCATTACACCCAGCAGCTTTTCTCAGAATTTTTAACCTTAAGTTAAAAAGAAAATTAATAAAATCAAGACCAGAATGCCCAAGGCTGTCATTTGAAAGAGAATCTCCTAATGACATTGGAAGGATTCTTCTCTTTTTTTTTGAGACAGTCTTGCTTAGCCACCCAGGCTGAAGTGCAGTGACACTATCTTGGCTCACTGCAACCACTGTCTCCCAGGTTCAAGTGATTCTCTTGTCTCAGCCTCCCAAGTAGCTGGGATTACAGGCACCTGCCATCATGCCTAGCTAATTTTTGTATTTTAGTAGAGACAAGCTTTCACCATGTTGGCCAGACTGGTCTTGAACTTCTGACCTCAGGTGATCTGCCCACCTCGACCTCCCAAAGTGCTAGGATTACAGGCATGAGCCACTGTGCCCGGCTGGAAGGATTCTTCTCTAACCCTCACCATTCAGCTTCCTCTGGGTAATATTTTCAAGTCTTATACACAGCAAGTCCCCAGCATTTCTAAGAGGTAAATACGCATATCATAATGGTAGCAGGGAAGAGGTGTTCATTCCAATGAATCTGTAGGTTTCTTCTACTATGGATGAACTTTCAAATATGTTCCTGTTCCTTTCTTCCTGGTTCATGGACATATTTGGGTAACTGACATTGCCAAATGACATTCAGATAGGTGAAGTATTGTATCCTGGGACTTCCCATAGCTTTGCCTGTAGCATGCATCACCACTTCTTGCAGAACCTTCTGAACGTGTGACCTCAGAATTCTTTTTAGCATAGTTCTCCAGGCAGTCCATGCCAGTTGCTCAGAGCTGGCCAGGGGAATGATCCTTTTTGCCACTCCTGCTGTTGGCCTATCATGTGTGCTTTCCAAGACCTATTGGAAGCCTATAGAAGTGATCTGTAGGGTCACTTCTGTCCGTGCAATCCATGCCAGTCCCTTGAGCACTTAGTGATATCACAAGATATTAGAGCTAGATTGGACTTTAAAGATCTAGTTCATATGAAGAGATTGAAAAAGCTGAAACTCAGAGGGCTTCAGCCTCCAAACTGTGTTATTTCAACTGACACTGTGTGCCACCTGGTTAAATGCATTGCTTTGTTTTCCTTTATAGGTGAGAAGACACTCCTGTGCAGTTTGGGCTCAGGTGAAAGGTAAAATTACTTTCTGTCTACAAATGCTGTCCTTCTTTCTTCTTTGCAGCATCAAGTTCATATTGATGAGATCTGTTTTTAAAATTGTCACTGGTGACCAGAACCCAATTCATACTACCTTAAGCAAAAAGCTTCATAGCTGAAAAAGGTTGGAGGAGGGTGAGTGGATGGGAGCTTATAGAATTAAGAGCTACTCCACCAAGGCTCTGGGAACTGGGCCTGGGGACTCAACACTGTGAGTGGGACTTCTCTTTCTATCTTTCTCTTATTTCAGTTCTGTTTTTAAGCGTGACTTGGCTTCGTTTCCTTCTACAACAAGGCATATGAGAGGGAGGGATGGCAAGCTTCCCCAGCTTTGCAATTTCACTGGGAACACATAGCTTTTCAATTCAGGGAAAGGTGCTTTCTTCCTAGGTTTAGTGACTGTCCATTGGATGAATCACTGTTAATAGGAGGAAGGCTAGGATGATCGGCCTCCCTTGGGTTTTATGCCTCCTCATGGCTGGTTGGAGGCAGAGCAATGTGACCAATACGTTCACTAGGGTTGAATCGAGAGGGAGACAGAATCCCCATCAAGAAGTGGAGCCCAGGAAAAGATGCTGAAAGACCAGTACAAGGGCTACAACAGTCCATTACCATTTGGCTGCGTAGCTTGTGCACATACACATATAATATTGAGAAAAACATCTTCCCTTAACAAAATGGAACTATCCCATGTACAATCTCACATGGAACCCTGGTGGAAAACAACTCAAAGCTGGGTGTGTTACTGCATCCAGCTCCAAGACCAGGAATCCTGGGGATAGCATGTTCCTCTTGATCAAGTCCAGATGTGTTTCTTGTGCTTGTAAGTAATCTATGACTAAATGGCAAATTTAACCAACCTCAAACCACAGTATATAATATGAGAGGGAAAACTGAATAACACAATAAATACTCTAATTTAGAAAGAAGGAAAAGATAATGTGTAGTGGTCAGGGGGGCTATAGCAATGATCACCTCTTGCTGGCCAGGAGAAGCAAGCATCCTCTGCCCTGGCAGCAGAATGGGTCACTTGGGTGGTCAGTTTGGGTCTGCCTGATGGTACCCCTTGTCCATTTCCTCCAAAGCCTTTCCTAAGAGATGCAGGGGAACATCTTTACTGAGTGCTGTACAGCTTAAACCTTCTTTGCTTTGGAAGAGTTATTCAGGCGGGGAAATTGCCTTAGGGTTTGAGCAATCACAGGTCTTTGTTTTCCAGGCTAGGGATTTCCCTGGCAGTATGGGTACATTTCTTTAAAACCAACAGGCAGGCAGCCAGTGGATTTGATTCCCAGGAATTCCATTCGTTTGTAGCTAATACCAGAAATTTGTCCCGTTTATGACCTTGGAATCTGGACCTTTTCCGTGTGGTTTATGAGTCCTAGCAACAGGCTGAGAAATTCTGCCCTTCGCCCACAGTATCAGTTTAACCCTTTACATCCTTTCCCCTGCTTCAGAGCAGCATACAACAATCAACTGGCATGGTGAGGAAGTGCCGGTGTAAACTTCCTTCCCTAAGGATTCCAGTGGATAGCACTTTCTAATGGGGGATTTTTTAATCCTGTAAATAGAGAATACTGTGCAGGGGGCTGGGTAATTAGGCTTCTTCTATTTGTCTGCTTCTCTCCTAATCTAATTTTCATCTTTTTACCTCTGCTCAAACCAACTGCAACAAGGGTAGAGGACTTGGCTTTTCAGCAGGGTGCAAGGCCATGACCGTTGGCCATCTTGGGTTGCTGATTACCTGGCAGCAAGGGCCTCTCTTGGCAAAGATGGGTGCTGTGCAGTTTCTGTGTGCAGATGGGCCAAGCTCCCTTTACTTGTAGGACTTTAATAAGGGCCACAAGAAACAGCCACACAATTCAACATTCATATATATATATATATATATCATATATATACATATATAGTATACATATATATATTTTATATACATATGTACATACATATATATGTATATTATATACATATATATGTATATTATATACATATATATATATATATGTATTTTGCCAGTCCATCCCCTGAAGCTCTAGGGTTGGGAATGGCATTCTCATGAGGAAAAGAGATGCTTTTATCAGAAGAATTAAGATGTGCACACTTTCAAGACACAGAAGCGATAGCTTCCAGAGTCCCCTCCACTCAGCAGCTATTTGCTATGATTGGAAAACCTTCAAGCTGGGTAGAAGAAATTGCCAAAGAGCTGGTTACAGTCATTCTGCTATGATTGAGTTAACAGGAAGGATTTTGCTTTGAAAATATCTTAGTGGCTTTGGCAGTGCCCTGGTCTCCCCTCAGCTTAAGAACCAATATTGAAGGAGAGTTTGAATTTTTGAAATTAAAACACTGGAAATCTCTGGAAGATAGTAGGAAAAACACTGTTCTGTGGAAATCCTGAAGGCAATTCTAGCACATATTTATCCACGTATAACATTTGCCTGTGTTGTGCACCCATCTCGGGCAGTCTACTTTTTCAAAAAATTTTGGAGACTGCCATTTCAGAAAGCAATCTTCAAAGAAGTGAGATCTAAATTAGTCCTGAAATGGTGCCAGTTCATGCGTGCCAAGCCTCAGCCCCGTTCTGGCCTCTGCCCAGTGACAAATTATGCTATTTGCCTTTTGCATATTGCCTCTAGAAGAGCTTTGTAAAGATTACTAGGAAACCAGCAGTCAGTTTGATGGAAGATGCAGAGGCCTGAGCTTACTTGCCTGAGTCTCCTGCCATTAATCAGCCAAGTGCCTTTGAAATGATATTTAACTTGGCCAGTTCTCAATCACCCTCTCTCTGAGATCTCTGAGATCCTTTCCAGCCACAGAGTCCTATGAGTCTGTGATTTCTTGAGTCACAAAGCAAGGTCAACTGATATATGTGAGGTGATAATAAGCTGCAATCAGGGAACATTCTCCAGTTGTAAGCATGAAACCTCTGAGTCATTCGTGACTACTCCTCTTTCTCTTTTAACCCACATTTCGCACTGTGGGCACGCCTCTCTGATTTTCATTTCTTTGTTCACTCCCTGAGCATAGGCCTTCCTACTTGTAGCATGGATGACTGACAAATTCTCCTTCCTCATCTCCCATCACAAGAGTTCAGGATTTGACTGAGTGTGGTGGCTCATGCCTGTAATTCCAGCACTTTGAGAGGCCAAGGCAAGGGGATCACGAGGTCAAGAGTTCAAGACCAGTCTGGCCAAGATGGTGAAACCCTGTCTCTACTGAAAATACAAAAAATTAGCCAGGTGTGGTGGTAGGCACCTGTAATCCCAGCTACTTGAGAGGCTGAGGCAGAGAATTTCTTGAACCCGGGAGGCAGAGGTTGCAGTGAGCCAATTGCACCACTGCACTCCAGCCCAGGCAACAGAGGAGACTCCGTCTCAAAAAAAAAAAAAAAAAATAGAGTTCAGGATTTTCCTCTGCAGCACTAATTTTGTTGTTTCCTCCATTTCCATGATCCTCCATTATTTTTTAATTTGGCTTCCAAGTCCTGTTTGACACAAACATACTCTTCTAATCCCATCTGTTATTTTTCTCCATTCAAACATATGTGCCAGCTGTTTTCTGGCCCATATTTTCTCCTCTTAATGTCCTTGCTCATATAATTACTTGACGACTTCTATCTGGATTTTCCAATCACCTACTTGTGAATCTCTGCTTGTTACAATCTCATCTGTTCTTCAAGATTAAAGTCAGATGTCCTTTCCTCCCTGAAGCTTTTTAAATCTCCTCAACAGGACAGGATCTGGCCCTCTTGGGCTATTCTGCTATATTTTAGAGCAATGGGTGTGCACTTGTTTTGTCTTCTACTACTACATTTCACACCCTTAGAGGGCATTTGAAGAGCAGGAACAGAGCCAGATATGCACTGGGTATTCAATCAGAATGCATTGAATTGGGCTGAATGATTACTGAGGAACCAGCAGTTAGTTTTATGGGAAATGAAGCATAGTTATCAAATTAAATAAGCCAAAGAAGACTTACATCAAGATATAAACCTGGTATGTATGTATACATATGTATTTACTATATTTGTACGGATATTCATGCACACAATCATTTTAAGCTTTTACAGTTGTGATGGAAGAATTCTAAGATGGTTCCCAAATCCCTGGTCTTTGGTGTACATCTACCTTCTCTCAGTTATTCATTCAAAGACTGTTCTAGCTATTGTTGTGAAGGGATTTTGGAGATGTAATTAAGCTCCCAAACAGGGAGATTATCCAGATGGGCCTGACCTAACCACAGGAGCTCTTTAAATCTGGTTAGAAGTTAGAGATAGGGAGAGTTGGGGCTTCAAAGAATGAGATGGATTTGACACAGGGAAATTCTCCTGCCAGCTTGAAGATGGAGGGGTCCACATGGCAAGGAGTGCAGCGTAACAGTAGGAGCTGAGCATGGCCTGGCTGTAGCAAGTAAGAAAATGGGGACCCTAGTCCTACAACCGCAAGTGTCTGTTTTGTGTTGCTGTAACGTAATGCTGGAGGCTGGGTAATTTATAAAGAAAAGAGGTTTATTTAGCTCATGAGTCCTTAGGCTGGAAAGTTCAAGAGCATAGTGCTGCATCTGGCCTGCTTCTGGTGAGGGCTACATGCTGGGTCAGGCCAATGGCAGAGAAGTGGAAAAGCCAGCAGGTATATATACAAAGAGATCACATGATGACACAGGAAGCAAGAAACAGTCTAGGAAGTTGACTTGATTTTACAACGAGCAGATCCCTGGTAATACAGACCCTCCAGAGGAAGAACTCACTCACCTCTCAGGAAGGTCATTAATCTGTTCATGAGGGCTCCAACCCCATGACCGAAACAGCTCCCACTAGGCCCCACCTCCTGACACTACCACAATAAGGATTAAATTTCAAGTGAGTTTCAGAGGGGATAAACTCAAACCATAGCAGCAAGGAACTGAATTTAGCCAATGACCTGAATGAGCTTGGAAGTAGATTCTTCTCCGGAGACTCCAGAAGGAAATGCAGTCCACCTGAGACCTTGATTCTAGCCTTATAAGGCCCTAATATGGTTTGGCTCTGTGTCCTCACCCAAATCTCATGTTGAATTTTAATCCCCATGTATTGAAGGAAGGGCCTGGTGGGAGAAGACCAAATCATGGGAATGGTCTACCTACCCCTTGCTCTTCTCATGATAGAGCTCTCATGAGATCCAGTTGTTTGAACGTGTATAGCACTTCCCCCTTCACTGTTCTCTCCTGCTGTGGCCATGTGAAGACTGTGCCTACTTCCCCTTCCTCTTCTGCCATGATCGAACGTTTCTCGGGGCCTCCGTAGCCTTACCTCCTGTACAGCCTGTGGAACTGAGTCAATTAAACCTTTTTTCTTTTAAATTACCCAGTCTCAGGTAATTCTTTATAGCAGTGTGAGAAGGGACTAATACAGGCCCTGAGCAGAGAACGAGCCACAATGTGCCTGAACTTACCACCCACAGAATTCTGAGCTAATAAATGGGTTAACGCTACCTAAGTTTATGGTAATTTGTTAAGCTGCAATGAAAATGGAATACAGCAATGTTATTCCATACAAATGGAATAACAAGCATTATTGATCTCTAAATTAGTTTTCTGCTTTGATTTCCTTTGCCATCTTTACTCCGAATGGAATTCAGAATAGCAAAGAGAAACTTAACAGAGTAAATAGAAGTCACTTTGCTAATTATTATTATTATTATTTTACCATTTGGAGAACAGAATTGGTGCTTTCCCAGGAAGTGACCAGGCCTGTGTATATGCATGAAAAAATGTCCACACCTGTGGGAAGTCCTCAAGCAGTCACAAAGTCTGAGAGTAGAAATAGGACTTTTCTAACTTCCTCTTCAGCACCTGTGATATTTCTATCAGGAAAGGGGTAAAAGATAAGCCCAGGAAGGCCCCATCACTCCTGAGCACTAGCTCTCTTGAGGGAGCCATCATAAAGAGAATGGTGAAGTTTAGTCCTAACGGATTTACTTTCTCCAAGACTGAGTAACTGATCTGGGATATAATACATAATTTATTCACTTGGGTTTATAAAAAAAATATTCTACAAGTGATTCAGAAGAAAAATAAGCATGGTTCTGTGGCATGAGACCACGGAAAGGGAGGATAACCAAAGGATGGTGAGGCTATAAAAAACACTATTCAAATTTGCCAGTTGTAAATTTTCTTAGTAAGGAATTAATGAGAAAAGTCTCTAAGGAAGCTTGTGTGGCAACACTCATAAGCACTCTTGATTAGATTGAATCAGATTTCAGAGTATATATACAAAGCAGACAAAAAGGTATATAACCAGGAACTGGTCTACCAGCAAGAATCATTCCTGGAGCCAAAACCCAAATGTGCTATGCTGAATAAATAAACATTATTTTACAATACTATGTCTAGAGTAAGGAATTGTTGAGCCCAGGTAGATCCTGCTGGTGGATGGTCAAGAGAAAGTCAGTTTCCTTAACTCTTACTTTGCTTCTGTCCTCTTGGTCTGTGAGCGGAGAGTTAGAAGCAAGAAAAGAGCTCACTACCCCTACATAGGTTCAAGTCTTCCAACATGGATGAAGCACATTCTGGCAGGCTCATATAATTTTCACATAAGATGATAAACCATTGCAAGTGATCTTTGAGAAATATTGAAGGAAATGGAGAGATGTAAGAAGACTAGAGATGAGCAAAGAACAAGGAACTTTGTACAAAGGAAGAGCCACCGGAAGTGTAGGTGATGGTAACCTGAAGTCAAGGCAAGACAAGGTCTTCAAGTGATGGCTTGTGTATTCCTAGTAGAAGAAACAGCAGTTCCCAGGAGTCAGAGCAGATTAAGTCAATTGCTTTCCATTTCTTCTTGCACAGAGTCAGTAATTGGACAGGAAAATATGGCATGCATAATGTATTTTGACTTCAACAAACATTTAA